CCCGCAGACTTTGGCTGCATAATGGCGCTATAAAGCCTAAAAAACATAAAAATTACTCTAACCTTACAGCCATTAGTCCGATCAGCTTGAAATTTGGCATGCAGTGTCTTTGACCAAGTTGTCATAACATACTATAAGGACATTTGCGAATGTCAAAAAACATGGCCGCCATTAGCTAATTAAGATTGAGCAGCCATTAAACAGGGTTAACGATGAGTGATCGGAACGAAACTTGGTGGGCATGTTTGACTCATAGTCCTAGAGGTCTAAGAATTTTGAAAAAAATCGGCCTCTAGGGGGCGCTTTTGTGTTTTTTGAGGGTGTAATTGATTGGTTATTACACACAGTTTTGCACAGCCACACAAACTACATATCATATGATAGGCCTGCTTCTACTGAACACTTTGACATAAACATAACTGCTGTCAGTCCTACTGTTAATTAAATATTAATTAATATATGAAAAACCTACTTTTGCAAACTAGTTCCTGGTATTTGGCTCAATCACCACGAAACCAGTGTTGTATGAATCTCTGGACTGCCTAGATCAAAAGTTATTGAAAAAAAGTTGAACTTTCATCCTTAGGTAGCTATAAATGGCTCGTTTACAAAAAGGGGTGTGTCTTTGTATTGACCTACATGCCTGTAATTGCATAAGGAAAATGCCAAACCTCATGAAAGCAGATATGCACATCTGAGATATAATTCCTAACAAGCATGGCAAATTTTGTGAAGATAGGTCAATAGGTGGCACTATAACAGTAGAAAAGGTCTCAAAAACACTGCTTTTCGTTGCTATTTGACCAAAATATGCAGAATATGTGTTTATTTTAGACAGCTTTTCACAAATATACTTGATCGGACATATTATATGATAGGCCTGCTCATTCTGATCACTTTGACACAAACACCACTGCTGTCAGTCATACTGTTTATTAAATATTAATTAATATATGAAAAACCTATTGTTGCGAACTAGTCCCTGGTTTTTCGCTCAATCACCACAAAACCAGTGTTATATGAATCTCTGGACTGCCTAGATCAATAATTATTGAAAAAAAGTTGAACTTTCCTCTTTGGGTAGTTATAAATGGCTCATTTACAAAAAGGGCCGTGTCTTTACTTACCTACATGCCTGTAAATGTTTGAGGAAAACCCCAAACTTTATGAAATCAGGTATGCACATCTGAGATATATTTCTTAACAAGCATGCACAATTTTGTGGAGATAGGTCAATAGGTGGCGCTATAACAGTAAAAAAAGGTCTCAAAACACTGCTTTTCATTGCTATATGACCATAATTTGCAGAATATGTGTTTATTTTAGACAGCTTTTCACAAATATACTTGATCTGACGTGTATTATATGACAGGCCTGCTCATTCTGATCACTTTGGCACAAAATCCACTGCTGTAACTATAACCATCTGTTGTATCTTCAATAAAGATAACTCTACTGCAAGTATAGGGTTGAAACGAACCTTTACTTCTGTTTACTTCAGTTGTAACAACAGACATTTCCACCGTATGCCTTCCTGCATCGGCTCTCGTCTTTCAACTGGGTTACAGGCAATAACACACATGTATAAACCAATAACGACCTCTTGTGGTTACTCCAGGATACTACATCCCCTCCTCCTTAAGCTATCAATTGGAATGTTTCTTTTCTGTTATTTGTATAGCTTAGTCTTTCAAACTAAATCACAATAATCACTTAAGAAATATACAACCTGTAAATAAGTAACAAATTATAAAAATTATTGATCAAGATTCTTAATATAACCTTTTCAAGCTATCAAGTAGAACTGATACTTTTACTAATTTATTCTATGCAACATAGTCTTTGAAGTGAGCTGGAGAACGTTTTTCTCTGGCAGACTTTCTCAGATTTGTAGGTAAGTTGGTCTGTTTTTCCACAGCAGTCACTTCCGGTAACTGTGGCTTTTCCAATGCAGACAGCTCCCTATCTGCAGGTGCATCAACCACCTCTGCAGTCGGTAACGCAGGAGTATATACGTTCTGTTCATCCTCTCTGGGTATTACAGTGTCGAGAATTCCATCTGTACTCCGAGTTCTTATTTGGTCCACATGCCTCTTCACTGTTTGCCCCTGGCCGAGAGTGGTCTTGTATGACAGAGGTCCAGTACAACTTTCCACAACTGCAGGTATCCATTTTGGTCCACTGCTGTAGTTCCTCACATAAACTGAATCTCCAACATCAAAACTTCTGAGTTTGCAACTTTTGTCATGAGCTTCTTTTTGCTTCTGCTGTTTTTTTAGAATTTTGGTCTTTACATCAGGAAGGAGTAAGTCAAATGTAGATCTCAATTTCCGTGACATCAACATCTGAGCAGGTGACAACCCAGTTGTTGCATGGGGAGTGATTCTATAATTGAACAAGAATCTTGCTACTCTTGTCTCCACTGTGTCACCTTTCATCTTTTTCATACCCTCCTTGAAGGTTTGAACAGCACGTTCTGCTAGTCCGTTGGAAGAAGGATGATAAGGAGCTGACATCACATGTTGAATGCCATTTCTTTTCATGAAACTTTCAAACTCTTGACTGGTAAAACATGTTTCATTGTCAGACACTACAATTTTAGGTAATCCATGTGTACTGAAACACATTCTCAGTTTCTCAATGGTGATTTGAGAAGTTGCATGCATAGTGGGATAAACTTCCATCCACTTGGAGTGAGAATCTACCAGAACTAGAAACATCCTTCCTAAGAAGGGCCCCGCGTAGTCAATATGAAGTCTTTCCCAGGGTGACCCTGGCCATTCCCACGGGTGTAATGGAGCTTGAGCCAGTGCCTTTTTTAAACTTTGACACATCTCACATGTCTGCACCACTTTCTCCACATCCTGATCCATACCAGGCCACCACATGTATGAACGGGCCAATCCTTTCATTCTTGACATACCAGAGTGGGTCTGGTGTAACTGTTTTGATACAGCTTCTCGGCCTTGTGGTGGTATGATGATCCTTGCTCCCCAAATCACACATCCGTCTTTGACACTTAGCGAATCTCTCCTATGATAATATGGTAACAGTGAGGGCTCCACTTCTTCAGGCCAACCCTTTAATATGTACTCATGTACCTTGGAGAGCGTTATGTCATGTGATGTCCACTTCCGAATTTGCACTGCACTTACAGGTGAGTCATCCATTAATTCCATCATCAGCACTTGATCATTGGTGTCCTCCGGTTCTCCCTCACTTGGCATTGGGAGTCTACTCAGTGCATCAGCATTTTGGTGGTACTTTCCTGGCTTGTATACAATGTTGTACTGATATGCTTGTAACATCACAGCCCACCTTTGCACTCTGGGTGATCCCATTTGAGGAACTGCTTTCGTTTCATTGAACAAATTGATCAAGGGCTTATGATCAGTGCAGATTGTGAATGCACGACCATACAAGTACTTGTGGAATCTTTGGATGCCAAAAATCACCGCTAGGCCTTCTTTGTCTAACTGTGAGTACCGCTTCTCTGCAGCCGTTAATGTTCGTGACATGAACCCAAGAGGTTTCTCCATGCTCTCTCCTTTTCTGCGCTGCGAGAGCACCGCACCAACCCCATAGGGTGAGGCATCACAAGCTAGAACTAATTCTGAATCTGAGGAATAGTGCACTAGCACCTTTGCTGATTTCAGAAGTGCTTTAGATTCTTTGAAGGCTTCTTTTTGTGCTTTTTTCCACATCCATTGAACATCTTTTCTCAGCAACAGATGCAGGGGGGCTAGTAGCGTTGCCAAATTTGGAAGGAACTTATTATAATAGTTCAGCAACCCCAGGTAAGCCTTAAGCTCTGTGACATTTCTTGGTTCTGGTGCTTCATCAATGGCTTTTGCTTTATTTTCTGTGGGATGTAGACCCTGTGCATCTACTCTGTGACCCAAATACTCCACCTCATTTGCCAGGAACACACATTTTCCCCTTTTTAGCCGCAAACCAGCTTCTTTCAGCCTGGTCAACACCTCATCTAGTGTCTTCAAATGTCTGTCTTGGTTTCCTCCAGTCACCAATATATCATCCAGATACACAACTACTCCAGGTATGCCTTGCAGCAATCCCTCCATTGTTCTCTGAAAGATAGCTGGGGCGGACGCAACTCCAAAAGGTAGACGATTATATGTGAATAACCCTTTGGAAGTATTCACAGTCAAATATTTCTTGGAGTTCTCATCCATGACTATTTGTTGGTATGCGTGACTCATGTCCAGTTTTGTGAACTGCTTTCCTCCATCCAATAGAGCAAAAAGATCTTCCACTCTAGGTAATGGATATTGTTCCAGTGTTGACACTCTGTTGACTGTAAGTTTGTAGTCACCGCATAGTCTTATACTACCATCTGGTTTCAAGATAGGCACAACAGGAGCTGCCCACTCTGAATACTTAACAGGTGAGATGATCTTGTTTCGCAGCAGACGATTAATTTCTTCTTCCACCTTTGTTTTTAAGGCATATGGCACTGATCTGGGTCTGTAAAATCGTGGTGAGGCATCAGTCGGAACATGAAGAGTAGCAGTAGTGCCCCTTAGTGTCCCAAGCTCTTCTTTGAACACTTCGTCATGCTTAGATAGCACCTGTTGCAGTGTCTTCATCTCTGACTGTATCAGCTTTATCTCACCCCATTGCAGTTGAATTTCTTCCAGCCAGCCTCGACCTAGTAAACATGGTCCTGTTCCTTTGACTATGACAAGAGGCATTTCTTTTTCCTGCTGCTGGTATTTTACATGAACGTCTGCTACCCCCACTATCTCTACTGGCTCTCCTGTATAAGTTCTCAACTTCATTTTTGAGGATCTTAATTTGGGAGCGTTTGTGTCTTTCCAAATGTCATTGAACATACCTTCGTTCATTAAACTGACACTACATCCTGTATCGATCTCAAAACTCACAAGTTTGTCATCAATATGTAACTCAACAGTGAGGGGCTTCACTTTCTTCATAGCATCCGCTTTTATACATGCCAAAGTGAAGGTTTCTTCTGACTCATCACTCTCATTATTTTCACTTACTTTAAATGCTCTATGTGGCCACACTCCTTTTGCTCTACTTCCAGTGCCAGTGTGTCCCCTCTGTTTATTTTTGTTGCGACACGACCTTGAAATATGACCCAATTTTCCACATTGATAACATTTTTCCTTCTTAAATCTGCATTCACTGGCTTTGTGGTTTTTTCCTCCACACCTGTAGCAGTCTCTGGAATCTATTTGTTCACCAAGACTCTCCTTTTTTT